TGGTGGCCAACCAGCCTCTCTGCGCCCTGCTCAGAGTCGGAACCCTGTCTAGGGTCCTCCACCTCCTCCAGAGCCGACTCAGAGGTTCCCTCGCTGTTGGAGTCTGGTGGCAGCTCCAATGGCACCTGCTGGGCCACAACACGTTCCTATTCAGTTATTTATTTAATATGGCAAATGTTCAAAATTATCCAACAATATTAACTTTTATATTTACCTTGTTTAAAAGACCATTTCCCTGCATTTTCATCTTTCAGGATTGTCATATATGATTGATAAATTTATGTAACCCTTTTTAGAATGTAACCACAACTGTAAGACATTATCACATCTTGTGGCAGAACATTTCTTAAGTGTCTATTATTTGAAGAAGTATTTTATTTGTTCTAAGTTATTTATCCTATACTGTACTCATGAAAAATCTAGCCAGCCTAATGAACTATAACCAATAGGGAGCAACTGAGAAAAAAGAAATATTTACACCTTCCCTTTTTATTACTTTATTTGTTCTCATTTTATGCAAGCTGGGAGGAGATAGCAAGTTCTTTGTTGGAAATATAGTCTCTGAGGTATGATAGGTCATTTTAACTATTTGAAATTACTAATGCTATAGTGTGGCAATAGCTTATTTAATTTTTTCAGTTTATTTCAGTAAATTATTCCAGTTGAATAGGCAATATATTTAAAAATTATTCTCACCTAATGACAAAATCTCGTAGTAGAGCAAATTCACAATGGTTGAGATTTTCCACTGTAAATAAATGAAATTACAATTATCATAATTTAGACAAGAATACAGTAATAGAATCACAAAAACTAAATGGAAATCTTGAAGGCCAATCCTTGCCTGAAGCAGCACTAATGTAAGAGGATATCTTGCCATTCTTAGGTCTCACATTATCTGAATGGTAGTGGATTCCATAAAACATTTCACAAGAATTCCTTAGAAGGAATGGCAGAACCTGGGGGCAGAGTTAAGGAATCTTTTCAAACTAGAATTATTACATAGCCACAAGCAAACTAAATTTAACCTCCCCCCCCAGTGCTATTGATTTTTACCTAACTCTAACCAGGTGCTGACTATTAGTTGATAAGATTCTTATGCATAGGTTTTTAGCAATATATCAGTAACCTTCTCAAGTGACCTGGTCTTTCACGCCTGTCAGGATTGGATCTAAAACAAAAATACCCCTTCCTAGAAGACTAGGGGGAAAATGCTTTTCCTACGAACTTCTGTGTATAGAGGCCTATGCCCTCAGGTTTATCAAAAACGTTTTCTGATGATTGGGAGAACCACCTGAATCATATGGACTGCTGTGCAAAAGTTCAAAAAATATTCAGAAAGCAAGTGAAAGCAATTGGAGCAGAGATTTGCGAGGATAAATTTGCGTTCACTTGCCTCTTACCACATTTTTTTCTCACTCATTCTTTTAACAACTCTTATTTATTAACAATTATTTTATGTCAATTCAGTTACATGGTTTTAAAAGATTTATAAACCATAACATGAACACAAAGCAAAATTTCACTAAGCCTAAAAGGTTAACATATCAGAAATTATAATCAACATTAATTCTCTAGTAAAATCATGGTGTCATACATCATCCAAACAAAAAAGTAATCTATTCAGGTACCAGTCCTCTTTTTGTGTCCTAATTCAGACTCAAAAGAGTCACATTTTAAAAAGCTTCCCGAGTCATATATTATCCTTCCTAGTGCTTAAAATGTTTAAAAGTTAATATCAAGCTTTTATTCATTAATCGAGATTCTCCTTTAAAATTAAAAACTGATATTTTTCCTGCTTACCCTCCTCCCCTGTTTTTTTTTACAGGAAATTCACCCTTGAAAATACTGCTGTATTTTTCCTATTTCATGATTCAATATTTTGGGTAAGCATCCCTCAATGTATTCATCCAAATCATGACTATCTAATGAATACAGTTTAATAAGTTGTGGAAGATAGTGTACATGTTGTAGGTCATTGACTTTTTGTGAAAAATCTTCACAAAAAATGCAACTGGTATCATTTGCAGACTGGCTGCTACCATTAGCATTTGCATTATAATGACATCTAAATAAGAAATTACAGAACAATCATGCATGTACCTTCAATGACTCCCCAAGGTGTTTTTCTCCCTAAGACTCTTTTCCCATTCACTTGATACTCTTTGTCACTGCCCACCACAGCAAATGGCATACTTTCCTGCTGAAAATACACATAGAAATTAAGTTGCTTCTTTCCAGTATAACTAAGGATGATTTTATTATTTTTTTGTTTGTTTGTATCCCACCTTTATTATTTTTACAAATAACATATCCACCCTCCTATTTTCCTCCCAAGAACAACCCTGCGAGGTGTCTTGGGCCAAGAGAGAGAGTGACTGGCCCAAAATCACCCAGCTGGCTTTCATGACTAAGTCAAGATTTGGCTCTTTCCATTTCACCTTTGTATCACATGTATCTTTATAGCAGTGGTGGGTTCCGGATCCCGTTGCTGTCGGTACGGTTGCAACGGGGCCTGGCATCCTCCACATGAATGCGTGCAGCGCACACATGCATCTTACCATCTAGCAATACCTCCGCAAGCCTCCATGACGCTCCAGATGCTCGGCGGAGCATCGCACAGGCACTGTATGTGCCATATGTATGCATGGAAGCGCAGAAGGGTTTAAAGACAGGTAAGGAGTGTGGGAGGGCGGGCAGGGCCTCTGGAGCACTGTACCAGAACAGTACTCGGTGCTCCGGGCAGGCTCCGGTATGCCTGTATTGGGGCGTACTGCCTGCAACCTACCACTGCTTTATAGAATAATATGTGTATACAAACTGCCATTGCTAGTTTCTCTCTCTGCAATGTATAATGGAAAATATATTTGCATACTAATGATTCCTTTAAGCATCTTAAGAAATAAAATGGCAGCACATAAATATGTCTATACTAACAATAATTAAATAAGTTTGTAAAAATGTATTTTAAAAAATTATACTCCCTCACTAAATGCATGCATTTCAAATATATGTAAGGATGAAAATTCCTTATATTCCAACTTTGGATTCAGTCCCTAAAAGCTACTTATGATCTAATTTTCATCTCTAGTAGAAATAATAGTTTATAAAAATCTAAAGTTTATATCTTCTCAAAAACTACAAAAACCCCTTATGTAAGGTTAAAACCTCAGAACCTACTAAAAAAAGGTCAATTGGGATTATAAATGTCGCACCCTGATTTTGTCATTCTCGGCTTTGTCTTCAAGATCTTCATCAAACTCTTTCTGGGGATAAAATTCAATTCCATTGACTTCTAGTTCCTTACGGACCTGGTTAAAAAAAAAAATTCAGGCTGAAAAGTTTATGCAAGCATATAGCATTTCTGACCCAATTCAGAAAAACATCTGGATTGTGTGGTTTGCTAGGTGCTTTCCCAAGGGAGACTCACCCTCTGTTTGAACTCAATCTTTTCTTCCAGAGTCATGGTGTCTGCCTTGGCAATAACTGGAATAATATTTACCATTTTGCTCAAATGTTTCATAAATTCCATATCCAAAGGTCGTAAACTGCAGGAAAAAGATGATTAGACAATTATGAAGAAAAGCACCTTATGCTTATATCAATTTAATAATAATTAATAAAATTAATTCCTCTAATGTATTTCGTTCCAGTTTGGAAGGTGGGGGATAAGATACAGGAAACTACCATGTTTCCCCAAAAATAAGACAGGGTCTTATTTTCTTTTGACCCCAAAATAAGAGCTTAGCTTTATTTTCAGGGTGGTCTTATTATTTTTGAAGTGCAGGAGGCGGTAAGCGTGGTCACCCATGGCTGCTGCTGTGTTTAAATATTTTTGGGGAGGGCTTATTTTAGCGCGTGTGCTCAAAAGCCCAATTGGTCTTATTATCCAGGGAAGTCTTATTTTGGGGAAAACAGGGTAGCTTATCTGTGACTCCAGACCATTTCTTATTAATTTATGGGCATCAAGAACACACTTTGACTGGCAGAGAAAGGAAAAAAATAAATTCTAAGCATAAAAGCTTCAAGGAATTGAAAATAAGCAAGAGAAAACCTCAGGCACCTTGAGGTAAAGTGCTAAATATGATTACATAAGTGCCTGTTTTGCCAAGTACAATTCTTGTTGGCAATCATAACTGATAGCAGTTATTAAAGACTACAGATAGAGCTGGTAAAGTAATTACATCTGTGTGATCACACATATTAATACATTTATACATATTAAATATCTAGAAACATTGTGTTCACCTACAGTACACTTGAATTTTGAAATTTTCAGATATGAGCCAGCCTTAAAAATATTCTGTCCTGGAAAATTGCACATAATAATTATAATGAATAGGAATAGCTCTTCTAGCTCTTCATACGCATAATTAAGTATAGAGATGCAACATATCTCAAGCATGGATTTTACTTCGACTGAAGGTTACCACTTTCTTTTTTTCACCTTTGGAAGAAATATTACCACGGAATCTGTGCTGACCTAGAAGTCTTAGCTGGCTGCGAATGTTACAGGGGTAATTTATTCTTGCATCCTGTCAGTTCCAAGAGAGTATTTTTTTCTCCATTAATAAAATCTATCAGTGACAGTTTCCCCCCTCCTCATCTGATGGACCAGCCCCAGAACTAGGAGAAATACATACGAGTGGCCTGTGGGAGAGATAAAGTAGAGGCAACAGTGGACTCTTGTATCTGGGATTCGTTTCTTTCTGGCAATATTCACCTCTTCCTTCAGGAATTTCTCATATTGCTCATTGATGTATTTTTCAATGGGCTCCCAGCTAAGCAAGCAGAAGAGAAGAAGCAGATAGACAATCTTTCATTTTATATTCTGACAGGCGCTAATAGGTTTTGGAGTGGAAACAAACCACAGGCAATTTTATAAGACCAAAACAATTTTGGCAAGGTCCATTTTATAGCCTAATAATCTGACATTCTCATTTAACTAATATTACAAAATGAAATTGGGATCCTGCTAATATGATTTCAGATTTAGATTTTAGAATCTCTGTATTTTGTAATGTGTCACCAGATTTGCCCAATTATAACAAATTACTGAGGTACTTTATATATCATGTATGGAACAGAATATAGTAGATCGTGCTTTATGAGCAACAAAACAAAACAAATAATGTAGCATGAAAGGTAGTTGGATAATTTTATAGATCATGGAATAAATATCTATTTGAAATTGCTAAGACGGCTGAAATGTACTAATGCTAAATTTATTTTCTGTATGTTCTCTGAAATTATTTGTGATATTTTCATGTATGTTAAGATGGAAATTCAAAATTGCTTTAATAGCTTGGGGCTCTGGAGTAACACATGTTTTTCATATTGAAGTAGGGTCCTTTATGCAGCATGTCCAATTGGTCATTTAGCAATGCAATAAGCATAATGATGCTTATGGTGGTAGAACCTTTCCTCAAAAATACTAATAGTCTTTAAGTCACTTCAACTTTAAAATATAGCAGTTTCCCAACTGCTCTTCATATTGGCAGCATAGTAATCCACACTGAAGGGATTTGTAATTCCACTAGTGTGACCACTTAGGAGGAAATTAACCTACTGTGATCAGTAAATCAGTTGTTAAAAATAATTTACCCAATATGAAATCACCGATAGTCCTTGACTTACAACCACAATTGGGACTGGATTTGATTTTATGACATTTTACTGTGGTTCTTAAATAAAACATGGCCATTAAGCAAATCTAGCTCCTCCATTTAGTCAGCTGGGAAGGTTGCAAATCATGATTGTGCCCACAGGATGCCACAACCATTGTAAATGCCAGCTGGTTGCCAAGTGCCTGAATTGTAATCATGTGACTGCAGGGGAGGTGCAACCAGTGGTGGGATTCAGCCAGTTTGCACCTATTCGGGAAAACAGGTTGTTAACTTTCTAAGCAGTTCAGAGAACCGGCTGCTGGAAGAAATCTCATTTTGTTTTTTTCCACTTTCCAGGGCTAAGGAAGGCAGGAAGGAAACATTCTGGTGTTGTTTCTAGCCTAATCTTTATTGCCCTGCTTACAGAAATGGCCTCTCCGGTTAACCCTTATTACATTGTAACAGCTAAGGCAAAGCGCCCATCGACGTGAGTGACGTTGAGTTGGCCATGACCACCATCACATGACCACCGAGCCCCACCTACCCAGCTGGTCATTAGAGCAGAGAACTGGTTATTACATTATTTGAATCCCACCACTGGGTGCAACAGTTTTAATTTTGAGAATAGGTTGTAAATCACTTTTTCGGAAAGCATCATAACTTTGAACCATTGTTAAATGAACTCTCATAGGTCAAGGACTATCTGTGTTAAATCTTTCCTATTGGCATTTGTTTAGTAAATATCATCATATCATCAAAACTATAGTTTGGAGTAATTTGGAGTACAAGGCAGATACTATATTTCTGTATGCTATTTCTGAAAATATTTGTGTCTGTCTGTGCCTGCTAATCAGAATTTGCAAATGAGAATTCTACTATATTTAAAGTCTACCCACTTCTCTACTTACATGAGGAGGAAACGAAAGTTGGATTGAAACAGAAAATCAGTGAAAAATGAAAATACTTACCAATTTTCATTGTTGATCTGGTCACCAAATCCAGGAGTGTCAATAACCGTCAGCTTCATTTTGACACCACATTCTTCAATAACTGGGGGGGTGTGTGGAAATGTTGCTGTTACTCATTTTCAAAATATACATCTCTCTCCCTCTCTCTCTCTCTCTCCCTTCCTCCCTCTCACACACACACTTTTATTTATGTACATACGGACAGTCTATCTCTTCACACCTATAGTATGTATAAAATTGTATGCAGCTAGGCAAACCCTCCCATACATACAAACACAATAACAATCAGTTGGTTTCCAAAATAATATTGAGGGACCAATTTCAGTGTTTTGATATATTCAGGTAGGATTATGCTTGAATAATACTGTACATTCCCGAATATGTCCTACAAGGGTGGGTGGAATAAGTAACAGGGATGGTATACTAGACTGAACCAACTTTTCAGAGATGTATAAATTAGGTCTTTCAGATATATCAGTGCTTCCAAAGCTTCTATAAAACTGGCCTGATTTTCCATTATGGCCTAGACCAGTGGTGGCGAAACTTTTCGGCATGGAGTGCCCAAACCAGAATGCCTGCTAGAGGCCTGGAAACTTGAAGAACAGCTGATGTTCCTGTATGCTGGAGCCCCAGAAACCCGAAGACCAGCTGGCTGGTGTGCATGCCAGCACCGGTCACCTGGTCTTCTGGTTTCCGGCATGCACATGTGCACCAGCCAGCTGATCTTCACGTGTGCTGGAAACCCGAAGACCAGGTGGCTGGTGTGTGCATGTGCGTGCATGTGCCAGAAACCAGAAGAGCAGCCGACAATGGTCCACGTGCCCCCAAAGAAGGCTCTCTGTGCCACCACTGGCATGCTTACCGTCGAGGTTTCCTAGTGTATAATAATTACACCATTGTGATTAATGTATAGTGTAGGCACTTACACAAATGAAACAATGGCGTGTCAGTAACACTAGTTGACTTACAACATTTTGTATAGAATAACTGAAAATTTAGTGATGATAATAGAGCATAAAAGGCAGATATAGATGGTAAAGTTTTGCATATACTGCATATACTCTTTACAGAAGCAGCCATACATATTCAAACCTGTGACTACAGAATGGAATCAAATGTAATATACCCATCTGTGTTACTTAAGAAATGGGAGCCAAGAGGTGAGCCAGTATCACAGCATCTCTGTCCCTTACATTATTATATTTCCTTTATGTTAATAACACAGGAAGTATGGTTGCTTTACTTAGAGTTTCATGTTATTGGTAATTGAGCAAGGGAAGTGAGTGCAGTGAGGTCTCCTTTTGTCAAGTTAGGTGGGTTGCTTTTCACATTTTAAAATTCTGTCATTGCATATCTACCCCAGCAAAACTACTGTTTTGTCTGTCAGACTACCAGCCAATTTTGAATCTATTTAGCCTGGCATTTCCCCTGGAACTGGCCCTTCATCTATTGTTACAACTAATATACAGAATACAGAAATAATCATTTTTAAAAATTAGCTGAGCGCCTCACCCTCTAGAACTGGAATAACACAACAAATTCTTTCAGATTCTTGTCATTCTCCTGGGAGACAGAGCCCAAGTTACTGGATGAAGAAAAGGCAAAGAGTTCTATTTCAGTCCCTTCTTTTGAAAGCCCTGCTGCTCTGACCCTAATTCCTTTTGTAGACAATTAAAAAACGGCTTAAAAGCCTGGCACATTAAACCACAGATTATTTGCATTCAAGGAAGAACTGGCTTTTACCATGCCCAATAGCCTTGATCTCCACAGTCTTGGGGATCTTCTCCTCACGGTTCCAGCCTGAAGATTTCCTGCTTACTTGGGATTTGAACAGGGTGTTTACAAGTGTTGATTTTCCAAGTCCACTTTGGCCTAGGGGAAATGACATACAAACAATACAAAATTGGTATTTGCCTAGTATAAATTGCTACTGTATTTTTTTTGTTTATTACTAGCTGACCAGGCGGGGTCTGGGTTGCAGCCGGAAGGGGGGGCGGGGTGAAATGGGAGGCAGTGACCAAGCGGGTGGGAAAACGGCGGGAGAGCGGGCAGGTGTCCGAGACTGGCCTGGTTTCTAATGCTCCATCCGGCATGGGAAGAGGTGGCGAGCGGTAAAGAAAGTGAGCCCTGGGCCGGCATCCCTGCCTCTTTCCTCCAAGAGCCACGGTGGCGGAAAAAGCAAGGCTTCTTTGCCAGACTCCCAGCTAGCAAAACAGAAATTTTCACCGGTTCTGTGGGTGTGGCTAGGTGGAGTGGGCACACAACTGAGTGGGTGTGGGCGTGAGTGACCCACCTAGCCACGCCCACAGAACTGGTAGTAAAAAAAATTGAAACCCACCCGTTACACTCCTCACTTAAGTTACTGGCCAACTGGATATATTAACCATTAATCAGATTTTGACCAACTACCTGTCTGAAATACATGAAAACAATAACTTGATTATCAACCCTAAGAACGCAAAAGGGTGCATAATCCAGACAGCCTGTTGTATGGCAGGACCTCTGTTTAACTGTCACAGTAAACACTGAATGGTAAACTGCTAGTGAAAAATGAGCATTGGGTAGATTTAAAACACAATAAACAAACACTGGCAGCTTTTCTCAACTTGGTACCTTCCAGTCATGTTGGAATCAGAATTGCTGTTGCCTATGCCTGGCTATGGAGTTTGAGAGCTGTAAAGCTCATTTGCACATCCTCCTTGCCTGATGTGAGAATGCTTCCCCATCCCTCCCCCACCGCTTTTTCTCGATGACAGAAGCATGTAACTTTGTCCAAGCAGTTCAAGTCCACTGTGAAGGTAACTGTACCACAAAAGCTGTGTTTTCTTTACGCCTCTACAAGTTGATTTGAACTGTCCATCTGTAGGACAACATTTCACTGTAGGCGAATACTTCTGCTCCAGTTGGCTACCGTGCACTTCAGTGGGAAGACCTTTTTCCTGCTCACTGATATCCATGTCCGTGTCAGCCTAGCTGCAAGGCTGTCCCCTATTCTGAAAGGATTTTCATGGACGGACAGGTAAAATGCTGGACTGTTTAATGAATGGACCCAAAGGCTGGAGTGGTCTGAAATGGTGTTTTTGTTGTTTTACAATTCCCTTTTCTTTAATCAGGTGAAATTGACAAATGTTCTGCCATGTTCTTCTTCTTGCATAAGTGTCAGGAAGAACAGTAAAACTGAATTCATCTTGTGCTGGATGAGAAAATGTCAAGCACAAGAAGGAATCAATGGAGGCAGCTCAGATAAAAGCAGGGGTGGGCTGCTGCCGGTTCACATGGATTCGGGAAAATCTCTAGCTTAGTAACTGCCCAGTTTGGAGAACCCACAAACCCCTCCCCTGGCTGGCCCTACCCACACTGCCCACCCCTCCCCTCCCAGGAGTCTCTGTGTGGCCCGTTCGGGATGCCAGGTAAGTACAGGGCCCGCACAGAGGCTAAGGCGAAAAACGGCTCTCCCAGAAGTTCTGGAAGGCTGCAGAGAACCAGGGGAGGACATTTTCGCCCTCCTGGAGGCTCAAGGAAAGTCTCTGGAGCCCGGGGAGGGCAAAAATGCCTCCTCCGCCATGGTGCAACTAGGCCACGCCCACCATGGCCATGCCCAAACAGCAACGGGGCAGAGAACCCATTGCTAAAGTTTTTGAAGCCCACCCCTGGATAAAAGCCACATTGTCTTTAAAATCCTCCCCCCAAAAAGTAAACATGGTTTGCTTTTCTGGCATGAGTACCTAGGGTAGCGGGGGAAGCAAGGGAATCTATCAATCAGGATCTGTGATTATTGCCTGGCCAACACTCTTGTCAATGTCATTTCCAACTGGTTTAAGCAGAGAAACAAGCAGTTTAAAACTGTCATGTGGAAGCAGCCATAGCATCAACTTGTTTGGAGGAGATTCATCCAGGCAGAGGCTGATTTAAGCTTGGTTACTGACTGCCATAAGAGGCAACGCTAGGTCAAAAGAAAGAACTATTTAGGATGATACCCAGGTAGGGCAGCAATTGGGAGCAGAAGTAGAACCTCAAGGAAATAGTCATGCTTGTAAGAAATGCTGTACTCAAAAAGAGTTACCCAGATAAAGTCTCTCCTACCCCAAGCCTGTGTACCAATCTTTCCTACCTACAACCATGATGTTGAAGTCAAATCCGGTTTTCATGGTCTTCTTCCGCATTTGCTCTATGATAGTGTCAATCCCAATGTAACCCAGTAAGTTGGAATTAATACTGACAGGTTTCATTGGTACTACGGGCTTTGGCCGTGTCTCTGGTACCAGTTCAGACATAACTGCTTCAGGCTTGGTATCTGCTGAACCTACAAATGAAAGGAAAATAAAAATTAAATTATATGCCAGAAACAAGTTGAATATAATAAGCCCTGATTCCTGGGGTTGATATTCCTGACCAGTTTGCCCTATCTTGAGTATGGATATTTTGCAGGAACATATGACATTGCCCTCTGCCTGACCCAGGTCGTCAGGAAGGCAACTTCCACCTGTCTTTTTTTTTCTGCTGTACATTAACTGCCAGTTCAAATGGTGCTGTTCAGTTCACCTGTTGGATTTGACTTCACTGTGAGGGTTCTTTTCACGTCCCCATTAAGTTGCCCACTGAAGTGGTATTCATCCATCTACTTGTAATTACCTGCTTTTGAACTGCTGGGTTGGCAGGAACTGGGACTCAAACTGCCATACGTCAGTAACTGGGTCTCAAACACAAACCTGCCAATCATCAGACCAATGTCTTAACCACATGAGCCACCATGCTCCTCCATCACCACCACCACCACCACCACCACCACCACCACCACCACCACCACCACCACCACCACC